GTGTCCGGCAACAGATCGCAACCCTCAGTGTTGCCCCCGTACTGGACCGGGGACTGGCAACGGGATCGCAACCCTCAGTGTCGCGCCCATACCGGACCGTGTCCGGCAACAGATCGCAACCCTCAGTGTTGCCCCCGTACTGGACCGGGGACTGGCAACGGGATCGCAACCCTCGGTGTTGCTCCCGCGCCTCGCTCAGCCAGTGAGCGGGAACCGGTCCGTATGTGGGATCCGAACCCTCGGGCGGGAGCGCCGCCGCGCTTCCCAAGCGGTGCACTATCCAGTGCGCCACCGGGCCGGCCCCCTTCTGGTATTATTAAGGTGCCAACAAAAATTAGAATTAATAGAATGTTGCTAATTGAATACAGAATGAGACCACAGGTAATCTTTGGTCTTAGAAGATAAAAATAACTGATGCCTACTGAGTACTTACCATGTGCCAGGCATTATTCTAAGCACTTTTTCCTGTATCAGTTAATCCTCATATAACCTTGTGAGGTAGATACTATAATCATCTCTACTTTATAGATGAGGGCTTGCCCAATGTTGGTCTTGAAGTCTATTTCACTTAGGCTGTAGAGAAGCCAAGTGAACTATTCCTGCCCTGCACAATAGAGTGTACTTCTGTGGCTACCAGAATACTTGTATCTACTAGATAATGTTTTACCCCTTTGGGCAGGATTGGATAAGCATCGACAAAGTTCTGTCCTTTGGATCTCTACTCTTTAGATGCTGTATGACCACTTTTCTGCTAATGCAGTCTCTTCTCCATACAGATTACAACATATATCTTTGTTATAGTTTTCTGCATAATTTCAGATTTACTATTGATTGGTAGAAAGAGCTCACTCCCGCACATACCTGTAAGGTTAGATTCATTTCCTGACCTATTGAACCATGGATCTACAAACTTGGCTGAAATAAGGTATCCACACAAATCAGGAACAGATGCAGTGCATCTTAGTGTAGCTTCCCTTGGCCCCCAGAGTCCCTGATGTGAGCATAGTTACATTGTGCAAAATAAGTGTCTTAGTCTGTTCAGGCCACTATAACAAAATACTTTAGACTGGGTAACTTATAAACAATAAAAATTTATTGCTCACAGTTCTGGGGGCTGGGAAGTCTAGGATCAAGTTACTGGCAGATTTGGTATCTGGTAAGGGTCCGTTCCTTGATGGTGTTTTCTAGCTGTGTCCTTACATGGTGTAAGGTGCAAACAAGCTCCCTTGGGCCTCTTTTATAAGGTCACTAATCCCATTTATAAGAACTCTGCCCTCATAACTTAATCACCTCCCAAAAGGCCCTGCCTCTTAGTACTATCACATTGTGTATTAGGTTTCAACATATGAATTTTTGGGGGGTAGGGGAGGACACAAAATATTCAGATAATAGCAGTAAGGTATCATAGCATGTGAAAAGCTGACTTTCTTGTTACATCTCGGTCCCCCCCTTTTTCTTAAAAATGAGGTTTGTTTCACTATTTGGAAAGAACAGACACAAATGAACTGTACCAGTAATAGGAAATCCATGTAGATGTCCAAAACCTTCCTGTTTCTCCAACTGAATTGAACACATGTTCAGCCATATCCTAATCAGGGGGATGCAAGGTATTCCTGAGCAGTATCTCTGCCTCTAGCTTTCTAGCAGCTCAGAAAGCTCATTTCCCTTTTACATTCAAATTCTGAAGATTCGCCTTGAATGGTCTTTGGTGCTTTCCAAAGAAAGTTTCATCATTACAGTGTACCTAAGTTATTCCTAGGGTTAGGCATTTCTGCAGATTTCTGAGCTCATCTATTTGAACATTGAGGGTTCCTTTCTTGAATTTTTGGGATTCCCTATATGACGATTTTCTTCTTCCTGTCAGTATTACTAGGTCTTCATGTCTCTGTCTCTGTCATCCTCTTAACATTTGCCACAGTGAGGTCCTGGCTTGCCAAAAAGTTGATCTGTTTTTATTAGTTAATCCGCTGTGAGTTTTTATTTCCCTCTCCTTTATTATTTCCATCATGAGAATTCTGACATATAAGAACTACTGCTAAGCTAGTAGACAAGGAGATAGGGCCTATATCCATGTTTACCTAAATAGTTTTGTGTCAGTAGGATCTTCATCTCTATTCTCCTATTTCATGGTGAAAGAATTTTGGGGTAGTACAGGTAAAGGTCCCCTTGAACTTAGATCTGAAATAATCAGTACTTTGAACCTGTACATATGGCAAGTATGTACAGTTTCATCTGGGGTGGTAAGTTCTCCACCTCTCTCCTGCCAGGAATGTGCTTCTTTTCCCATTCTGAATCTTGATTATGCTTATAGGGAATTTGTAAAACTTTAGGTGAAGTTAAAGTGAAAACAATGCCAAGCTCTTTAAAGAGGAGAGGTGAATGATTTAAGGTCCTGAGAAATAATTCCCTATTGGATTCTAGTTGCTTATTATGATCTGATGATACAAAGACATTCTTTTTTTCTACATTTCATTGGGAAATAATTTCAAATTTACAAATGTTGCAAAAATCAAAAATAGTGCAAGGAACACCCATATATCCTTTACCCAGATTACCTATTAACAATTTTTTCCATTTATCATTTGCTTACATACATCATGGCTCTTTGCCCCTAAGTACTTCAGTGTATATAGGAAATTTCCTATAAGAATAGGAAAATTGTCTTATCTAACTACAGTACAATTATCAACTGTATACATTTACATTGATATAGCACTTTTATCTAATTACTCATTCATATTCCGGTTTTGTCAGTTGGCCTTACAGTATAATAGTTTTGGTATAGCATTTTTCCTCCTCCAGTTAAGGATCCAGTCTAGGATCGTGTATCACGTTTATTTGCCTTGTCTTTTTATCTTCTTACTCTGGAACATTTCCATAGCCTTTTTGTTTTGATGTTGCCATTTTTGAAGGATATAGCCCCACACAACTCCCCTCTTTTTAAAAATAGAACAGACTTCATTTTGTGTGTCTGATGTTTCTTTGTGATTAGGTTGATGTTATACATTCTTGGCTAGAATACTGTATAGGTGGTGTTCTATCCTTCTCAAGGTATCACATCTGGAGGAACATGATGTCTGTCCCTCATTGGTGACGTTAATTTTGATCATCTGGTCAAGATGTAACCTGGCTTCTCTACTGTATAATTACTGTTTATTTTTTTCCTCTTGAAACTAATAGGCAGTCTGTAGGATATACTTCTAAGACCCTGCAAATAACCTGCTCTTTATCCAAATGTCCCCTAGATTTAGCATTCATTGGTGATTTTTGCCTAAATCAATCTTTATTATTATTTTCTTCCCACTTTAGCACTCACTCCCCATTTACCAGTCTGCCCTTGGAATTCTACTACAAGCATGAGTCTTCCCTTCTCTTCTGCTTATTATCAGCATGGGATCATGAATTCTTATTTTATTTTATTTCATTTTTTGGCAGCTGGCTGGTATGGGGATCTGAACCCTTGACCTTGGTTTTATTAGCTCTGTGCTCTCCCAAATGAGCTAACTGGCCAGCCCTTAGAATTCTTATTTTTTCAGTGGCTTATTGTTCATTATTGTATTTTATTTTGGTTCTGAAATTGTCCCAGATTTGGCCAGTAGGACCTTCTTCAGTCTGACTCCTATGTCCTTGTGACATGCTGTCATAATTTTTTTGAGCATTTTCTTCCTAGCATAAAAAGATGTTCCAGGCTCATCTTTATACCTACTCTGTCCCAGCCCTGGAGTCAATCATTTCTCCAAAGAGTTCTAGTTTCTTTTATTGGGGGATGGTATTAGATATCAAGATCTCAGTGCTAGGTGTACTACTGGGGTGTCTGCTTTTTCTGCCCTTTCAGCAGATGGAGCTAGGAAATATCTGTATGTATATACACATACATACACACATATATTTAAACATAGACACATACATTTATATGTACACTTATACCTATATACACAGATATATGTATACATATACCTATATATACACACACCCGTATTTAAGAAATCGTGAATTTGCACAGCTCCAATTCTAATGCACAAGATTCTCTTGCATTCCCTGGTCCATATTTGTGTGTATGTTCCTCCTTCTACAATGAGAACCCTGATTACCAAGAACATCAACACATTTACTTGAAATTACTTTATCTGTATCCTGTAATAAATAAACCTATTAAAAAGAGTTCCAGATTTATTTGCAATATTCACTCCCAGCAAACCCATCTTAAGAATGTATACTTTGAGGGTATATAATCAAATACCGTATTTATAAGTTACTTGGATTGGTTGTTTTTTGTCTTCTCTTTTCTTCTATTTTTTCCTTTAGTGTGGTTATGGTATTTATTTGAAATATAATTAGGTTCATTTGTTTTATTCTAAAGACATAACTTAAGTTTATTTTTACTTACATTATTCATAGTCCCATGATTGCTCCTACTATTTGAGTTAGTCAGAATTAGAGACAGTAGTGAAACTCCCCAGAGCCCCGCATTAAATGAATACCATTCAATGAGATGGCATAGATATATCACAAATGGTATTGTGTTATATGTCTACCCTGAAAAGCAAGTTGATCTTGGCATACCCAGACAGCAAAGCCAGTCATTTTGCCTTTTTTCCCCTATGAACATCTTATGAGGTCAAAGTGTAATGTGATGTTAACAAGGCATCGTTTCAGTTATTTTTTAGCCAGTATGCCTGGCACGGAGATCAGAACTATATCCTATATTCCTTGGAAGTACTTGAGGCTACTATTTAGCGATTTTGTACCAGTGCTGCTGCACTGGTTGTTTGCTGCTAGCTTCCACTGTGATTGGTTGTCTCAGTGCCATACTGGTTGTGAGATGTTTGGATTATCACTCCTGGGAACACCTAAACAACCTGTACATGTGGGTCAGGACTTCCCTTTAAGAGCCACCTGTTGGGTAATTTGTGGTTTTTGTGGTTTTCTTCATTTCCCTGCCTCTTCCCCCATCACCCCACTTTTTTTTTTTTTTTGCAGGCTTCTCAAAGTCAACCTGCCCAGCCCAAGAAGGAAGCCAATAAGGGGTTTATAAAAGATGTTCCCAAGAAGATAAACAGGAACACACATGCTCTTGGGGTGGCCAAACACAATGATGTGAATATAAAAAGGTGAGTAAGAGTGAACTCAGATGCATTGTTGTAGATGGTAAAGAAGAGTATGTGACATCCTTTTGACCATCTTTTGTTCCCATTGAGAACATGTTTAGTGAGCCACAGTGGTGACTACCACATTAACCTTGGGTACTGAGGTGGGCCCAAATGTGGTTGCTGAGAAGTCACAGGTCTTTTCTCTCTCTCTTCTTCCGTGGTGTGTATGCATATTGAAAGAGCTGTTGTCATTGGGGAAGTTCCCAAACGACCTTGAGCTCATCTTTTCCCTTGTAGTAATTCAGTCCCTGTTTGAACTACTCTGTGCTTGGGAGTGTAGAGACAATTTAACTTTTCAGAGACTCAGCAGCTGGCTGCTAGCTTGCCAGTCTGCTCATTTTATTAGAAGCTTTAGGGGAAGTTTGTCCCTCTTTGCTGAAGAGAAATTACTATCTCCGTAAGCCAAAAAGATGTGTCTTCCAGCTGTTAATGGTAACCATTTACAGGTTCTGCAAGTAGAGATGAGCACCCATCTAGGATTGGAAAAAGAATTTACCCCTAGGAAAACTTTTATTGGAAGAAGACTTCTAAAGTAGAGTGAGACTTTTCTCTATCTTCTCATTTCGGCGCGAGACTGACCAATCTGCACTTGAATAGATTAGGTAGATGGCTATAGCAGGGCTAAGCATGAGTTCCAAAGGGTAAGGTAAAAATGTTGGGGAATTCCAGAAAATTAACATGCAAGGTCCATAGGACATTTTGCTAATTACCCAGCAGAAGGAAGATCAGCCTTTAACCCCACTTAGTTTCCTGACAAAATGGAATTCCTGGGGTTTGTATGCATATTTTGACCTTAATTTCCTACATTATTTTCTTCTGAATTTCTTTTATCATTTTGGAAGCAGGGAAACCCTTACAAATGCCATAAACATTCTTCCCTTCACTCAGTATTCAGTAGAATGGACTCTAATATTAGCACTAGAACTAGTACCATTTATTGAGAGCTCACTATAATTCACAAGTATAATTACTAAGTCTCTTTTTTGTAAGCTTTATTGAGATATAAGTCACATACCATATGATTCACCTATTTAAAGTGTACAATCCAGGGGCTTTTAATGTATTCACTTATGCAGCCATCACAATTTTAGAATGTTTTTTATCAACCCCCAAAGAAACTCTATGCCTTTAGCTATCACCTCTCAATCCCCCCATCTTCCTCAGCTCTAGGCGACCACTGATCTACTTCCTTTCTCTATAAAGATTTCCCTGTTCTGGACATTTCATATAAATGGGATTAAACGAGTGATCTTTTGTGTCTGGTTTCTTTTACTTGGCATAATGTTTTCAAGGTTCATCGATGTCATAGCAGGAATAAGTATTTCATTTCCTTTTATTGCCAAATATTTCATTTTATGGATGTACCATATATTGCTTATCCATTCATTAGTTGATGGACATTTGGGTTGTTTCTACCTTTTAGTAGTTATGAATCCCACTTGGTTGTGATGTGTAATCCTTTTATATGTTGCTGAATTTGGCTTGCTAGTATTTTGTTGAGGATTTTTGCATCTGTGTTCATAAGAGGTATTGGTCTGCAGTTTTCTTGTGATGTTTTTGTCTGTGTTTGGTATGAGAAGAATATTGTCCTCATAGAATGAGTTAGAAACCCTTTCCACCTTTTCTATTTCTTGGGAGATTTCATGAAGAACTGGTATTAATTCTTATTTAAATATTTGGTAGAATTCACCAGTGAAGGCATCTGGGCCTGGACTTTTCTTTGTGGGTAGTTTTTTGATTATTAATTGAATGTCTTTACTTGTTATAGGTCTATTCAGATTTTCTATTTACTTCTTCAATAAGTTTTGGTAGTTTGTGTTTTCCTAGGAATTTGTCCATTTCATCTAAGTTATGTAATTTATTGGTGTGCAATTGTTCATAACATTCCTTTATGTTAAATGTTTTTAAGCATATTGTTGAATTTTTACAAGACTGTGAAGGAGGTATTATGATCCGATTTTATAGGTGAAAAAACTGAAGCACAGAGGGTTAACTTACCCACGGTCAGTCGCCCAGTCAGTAAGTGGAGGAGCCAGAATTTGAATCAGGGCATTCTAGCTCCAGAATGCATGTTCTTATTATAAATAGACCATCTAAAGACTACCTCTAAAAGTTCTCATCAGGAGGGACCTTGAGCCTATCCAGTCAGGCAGAATCTTTTGAGGCATTTGCTCTTAAAAAAAAAATAAATTAGTGGTTTTTATTCCTAGTGTTTTACAGCCATCACTACTATCTAATTATAGAACTTTTTCAATACCCCCAAAAGAAACCCATACCTATAAGTCCCTTTCTTTTCCCAGTCCCCCTTCCCATCCCCATTCTGTCCCAGACTCAGGTAACCACTAATCTGCTTTCTATTATGGATACACCTCTATGGATATATCTATTCTGGATGTTTTATATAAATTTAATTATATGATATCTGGTCTTTTGGAGGCACTTACTCCTCCTGTTCAGACTGGTGATTATATTTGCCTTCAATTTTCTTTTCTTATTCTGATTTCTAATCTTCCAGTGATTTGGTCACACTAGGTTAGTCACTCTAATTGGGCTTGAAATCCTATTCAAAACAAAACTTTGCATCTGTCACATGTGACGTTTCTGTTTTGGTCTTTTGTCTCCATTGGGAAAGCATTTCCTTAGTAGCCCAAGGTGAAGGGAATGTGGTTAGATACCACCAGTGCTAATTATCAGCCCACCTCTCTCATTAGCCTGCAAACAATATTAATTTCAACTTGCACTTTACCAGATACCTGGTGCTGGTAGACAAAGACAAATAAATGCCGCTAGAGAGGGAGACTGATACATGAGCAGATGACTCATCCAATGTGATAAGTATTATAATAAAAGCCTTTATATATAAATAAAGGCAATAAATCACATATGAGAAAGCATAACATGAATTTCAGGGGAAAAACTGTAGAAAAGTGTAGTGACCTAGGCTGTGGAAACTATATAGTGTGCTACGTACTTGATTTGCTATGGTACCCATTGATATTTTACCCTCTAATCTGTCTCTTGGGATTGAAGCCCTTTCTCCATCCATACTTTCAGTAAATATAGCAACAAAATGAGATAGTAGATGAGAATTTCAGTAACTACATTCTTCTTACCCAGACATTGTTTCTTTTATAGGCATAAGCTGGAACCCTCACCGGTAGTAGACTCTACCACTTTGGTACCAAACGTTATGGAAAAACCACTCATTCTGGAGATATCTTCCATCTCCAAAACACCCACCACTGAGGAGGCACTTCTCTTCACAAAGCCATTAGTTCTAAAAGAGGAACCCACTACTGAGGAGACAACCCTCATCAAGAAGTCATTATCTTTAAAGAAATACACAAATAACAGAGAGATGTCCCTTTCAGAGAGACCACTGTCCTTGCAGGAGGAGACTGACAATGATGATGAGTTTGTTATAGAGCCAGCGACTTTTAGGAACAAACATAAAACTGAGGACGCAGCCATCACCAAGAGGACATTATTCTTAAAGAAGGAGATGTGCGTATATCAGGGGAAGCAGTCCTGCTGGGAGGAGTCATTTGCCTTGCAGGACATCAGTTTTGAAGAGGATTCCTTCTTTATGGAGCCAACGAATTTTAGGAAGAAGCCTAAAACTGGGGAGTCACCCCCCACCAAGAAGACGTTATCCTTAAAGAAGTGTACCAGTCAGGGTAAGAGGTCCCACTTCAAGCCACTAGTATTGCAGAAGACCATTTCTGGAGAGGAGTCACTCACTAAAGAGCTGTTGTCCTTTAAAAAGGAGCCTACCACTGATGAGGAGTCTTTCTTCCAGGAGTCATCTATGTTGCGAGAGAAGCACACCACTCAGGGGGAGGTAGATCTTTTGAAGAAGCCATGGGCATTGCAGGGGAATAGTGACAGTGAAGATAACTCTGTTATGGAGGTAGCTTCCTTTAAAAAGAAACATACTACCAAGAAGTCAAACCCCATAAAGATGTCATCACCTTTAAAGAAGAAGAAATGCAGCTCACAGGGGAAGAGGTCCCACTTCAAGCCACTAGTATCGCAGAAGACTATTTCTGGAGAGGAGTCACTCACTAATGAGCTGTTGTCCTTTAAGAAGAAGCCTTCCATTAAGGAGGAGTCCCTTTTCCAGGAGCCATCTGCACTGCAAGAACAGAACACCACTCAGGAGGAGGTATCAACCTTGAAGAAGCCCCTGGCCTTGCAAAAGTCTACTGAGGAGTCACTTTTTAAGCAGGCTTTGGCTTTTAAGAAGCATACCACTGAGGAGGCAACCCCGACCAAGAAGCCTTTACCTTTGAAGAAGCAGCAGCATACCATTCAAGGGACAATGTCCCACTTGAAGAAGCCACTAGTATTGCAAAAGACCACCTTTGGAGAGAAGTCACTCATTAAGGAGTCATTGTCCTCTAAAGAAGAAAACGTGTCTTTAGAGAAAAAAAAATGCACCACTCAAGTGATCTCCATCTGTCAAGAAAGGTTGGACTTGCAGGATATGTTTGGCAAAGATAAGAATTCTTTCTTTACAGAGCCAGTGTCATTGAAGAAGAATCCTTCGACTGAGGAGGCACTCCTCTCCAAGACCCAACTGGAAGAAGAGTCACTCTCTAAGAAGCTGTTGCCCTTTAAGAATAAAACTACAACTCAGGAGGAGTTCCTCTTCCAGGAGCCACCTGCACTGAAAGAGAAGCACACTACTCTGCAGGAGTTGTCTCTCTCAAAGAAGCCATTGGCCTTGCAGGAGAAGACTACCACTAAAGAAGAATCATATATTAAGGAACTATTGTCCTTGAAGGAGAACCCTACCACTGAGGAGGAATTCCTTTTTCAGGAGCTATTCTCATTGCATGTAACTCCTGCCAACGAAGATGAGTTCCTCTTCCAGAAGGCTTTGGTCTCGCCAGAGAAGACTGATACCAAGGAGGATTCCTTGAAGAAGCTGTTGGTCTTGCAGGAAAACACCAGTGATGAGGAGTCCCTTATTAAGCAGCCACTGGCCTTGCAGGGGCACCCCAGCATTGAGAAGGAGGGCCTCTTCAAGGAGCCCTTGGCTATGCAGGAGAAGCCCAGCATTGAGAAAGAGACCATCTTCAAGGAACTCTTGGCCTTGCAAGAGAAGTCCACAATTGAGGAGAAGGCCATCCCGAAGGAGCCCTTGTATTTTGAGAAGCCCAGCACTGATAAGGAGACATTCTTCAGGGAGTACTTGGCCTTGCAAAAGCCTCCCATGATGGAGGAGGAAGCCATGCTGAAGGAGCCGTTGACCTTGCATGAGAAGTCCAGCATTGAGAAGGAGACCCTCTTCAAGGAGCACTTGGCTTTGCAAGAGAAGCCCAGCATTGAGAAGGAGGCTGTCCCCAAGGAGCCCTTGGCCCTGCAGGAGAAGCCTAGCATTGAAAAGGAAGCCCTCTCCAAGGAGATGTTAGCATTGCAGGAGGAATTCCTTTTCAGGGAGGTAGTAGCTTTGAATGAGAAACTCACCACTGAGAAGGAGTCATCCTCCAAAGAGCCATTGGCCTTGGAAGAGGATCCCACCTGCAAGGAAGACACCTTTCTCAAAACATTCTTGATCCTCCCGGTTGAGACCAGCCCACATGTGTCCAGCACTGCCCCTGAATCCAGAATAGGCAAGTCCAGTGCTGCCACCATGTCCAGTGTGGGCAAGTCCAGTCCTCCCAGCAAGTCCAGTTCATGCGAATCTGGTTCCAACAAAACTGTCTCACTTCAGGGCAAGAGAACACAGGAGGAGGTATTCATCTATCTTTTTATCCTCTTCTTTTTTGTCTTTTTTCATGACCGGCAATGGATCGCAACCCTCAGTGTCGTGCCCGTACCGGACCGGGACCGGCAATGGGATCGCAACCCTCGGCGCTGCGCCCGCACCTCGCTCAGCCAGTGAGCGGCCGGTCTGTATGTGGGATCCGAACCCTCGGCGGGAGCGCCGCTGCGCTCCCAAGCGGCGCACTGTAGCAGTGCGCCACCGGGCCGGCCCTCTATCTTTTTAAATTAGATGATGTATTATTTGTCCTGGAGGTGACTCCTAGCAAAGATTTTTTGCCTTCCTAAACAATCAAGCTTTATATATAGAAAGTTATGGGAGGTTCCTCCACCTAGAGAAAGGGTGATGTTTCTTGGGTTTACTTCTGATTTTATTTAATGATAGGTGATGCAGAATCATCTCTTTTCACCTTTACAATATGGGATAAATTTAGCAGGCTCTTTGGCATTTTTCTCTTCAATCAAGACCTTATAGAATCTCTTAACTTATTTATTCGCATAGTGATAGATCTAAGCAATCATAAAATATTTATTCCA